TTATCAACAAGCTCCAGACATTACACTAAAGAAGGGAAGAAAAACATGGCTGAAAGGGAACAACGCCGTCTCCAGGGGCACAGTCACAGAACTTCTCTAAGGTCTAGGATTTTTTAAAAACTATAAAACATACTAAAAAAAAAGCTATCTAAGAAAAAGAGGATCATGCACTGTGATGGTCAGGAGTTCTGTGCATGCATGTCTGTACCTCTGCTATGTTGTGGTCTGAGTGTACTGTATTTGATACTGACATATTTCGTATCAGATCATCATTATTAATTAAAATGAGGTCCAGTGTGTTTTCGACTCTTGTTGGCTCCACTGTTTGTTAGTTTGAAGTGAATTTGTTGCAAAGATTTAATAATGTCTCTGTAAAACCATAAGCTAAACTCACATCTTGTGCTGTCTTCAATCTTAAAGAAGATTAATGCTTTGACTGATGACAAAAAAAGAAATAATTGAAATACTAACAATAACAAAAAATTTCTAAACACTGAATGTTGATAATCCACTTAAATGTTAAACGAATATGACACCAAACTCTTCCAGGATATCTAATATAACCATGACTAAATAACTGAGGAAAAAACCATTGACAACGTATCAGTGCACTCTGCCTTAGTTCAGATTCCAGCAACTTGATACTTATTTGAAATCCCAAAAGCAGACTTTACCACATTCTTCATTTATTCCAAGTATAAAGAATCAATATGCAGGTAACATTCCTTAAGCTTAAATATCACTGTCACGTAAGTGAAGATAAACCAGTGATAAAAACATTATAGTTTTTATGACTGGTATTTATGTGAAGAGGTGAACGTGTGTTTGTCATTCAGTTCAAAACGTCATAAAAACTAAACCAATCGTTCACTTATGACAAGCAGCAAACATTTTCCTCCTAAATGTACTCACATGGCCGTATCATATAAACCTATAGAAATGACGTCGCTTATTGTCATAATCTTGGAAAATAAAGCCGAGAAAATTGTTAAAAATGTGAAGACATAAATTTTAAACAAGGCAGGACAACTTCTGTTAGGTAGGACACAAGTGCAACTAATGTGACATTAGTTGTATTTATGTCCTTTTACCTAAAATATTGTCGGTAATTTTACCACCATTATTACAGGATAACTTTTGTTCAGTACAGGACACTCCACTTCTCTCAAATGCTAGAAAAGTTGAACATGGCTTTTATGCACTCGAAGATAAAATTTGACAAACGTAAAATACCATGGATTTCCGAAAGTCTTCGCAGAGTGATCATGGTGTAAAACCGCTCAATTACTTCTTCTTCTTCTTATGACCAGAGCTTTGGTAAGATGGGTAAGGAAGAAGGATGGGTAAGGATAGAAATATTGGAGAAGGGTGGGAGGGGGGAGAGAGGTAGGATATAAAAGGTAAGTGGCCCAACCACTTTGGTGTAATTTAAAAAGTGTATGTGAAATAATAAGATATTCTTGAAGGGGTATAATACTAACCCATCAGAGTCACATAGATATAACAGATATATAAGTACATGACTCTGAATTGGTAGTAAATATACAAGTTGCAATTTTTTTTTTTTTTTTTTTTTTTTGCGATTGCACAACGGATATTTAAGCGACAATGAAGGCAATAATTTCCTGGTCAATTTATAAAGAATTACTTGACAATGGCTTCTTACAGGTGGTGCCCCGCCATAGTAAATTTAGCATAATTTTAACAGTAGAATGTTATACAAGATGTCTCCCTAATTGGGGGCGACGATTTTCTCAGTACACATAGAAGGGTTCTGGTGTTACCCTATCATCTTCATCAGGGAGGTTGCTCAATATCATGGGTCGATGGTAATCATCTTTATGGATAAAACGACGGACCCTCTGTGGGAGAGTCATTCTTTGAGTCCTGTGAGGAGGAGTATTGATGATATAATCCGTGGTATTTTCACCTTGTAGAGGATATTCTCTATCTGGCATGTAGAGTTCTTGCATTGCATAGAGTTGTTTCTTTTTCAGGGTGTCAAGGCGTACATTTAAGGCAGTAATATCTTGTACGTGTAAATCTGCCATTTTAACTCTGTCTCTCCTCCTGGTGCCCGTAATGAAGCGGAGAGCTCTATTCTGGACCCTTTGCAACCGTAGCATGTTGGTCTTTGTTGTTAATGTCATTGGGACACATGGGTATTCGAGTATAGGTCTTATTATCATTTTATACAGATGTTTTTTGACATGTGGAGGGGCTTGATTGAATCGAAGAGACTGCTAAGACCGGCTTTGGCTATGTTGATCTTTTTAGTTACATGAGATGTTGAGTGGAGCAGCCTGTCTATTTCATATCCCAAGATCTTGTTAGGGTTTCTAATGGCTACAGGTGTACCTCTGATGGAGATACCCCCTTTATCTTCGATGGTTGGTGCAAAACATCCTATCGTGCTAACAAGGACCTTGTCAGGATTAGTCGTAATTCTCCATTTCTTTTCCCAATTAGATGTTCGACGAAGTTCAATATTCATTTTTTCGATGACTCTCTCATACTTGTATTTTCCTGTTACCGGAGTTGATGAGACGACATGAATAACATCATCTGCAAACTGCGTTATAATTGTATCATTAAACTCTGGTTGAGGAAGGTCATTCACATAAATGTTGAAGAGAATTGGACTAAGACAAGAACCTTGTGGGACACCAGCTGTTGGTATAAAAGGCTCTGTCGACCTGCCGTGAAAGGTGGGAATGATTTTTCTTTGAGTTAAGAAGTTATATATTAATCTGAGAAAAGTCCAGTTATGGTCTGGTAGGTCAATGAGTTTGTATATAAGACCATCATGCCATAAGCTATCAAAAGCTTTATGAACATCTCTTGTGGCAATTAGGGCAAGATTGCCGTGATGTTTTAGACTTGCTACAGTTATAAGTTATAAAAAAAAGAAGTATCGAGAAAAGGACTTTCAACATAATCTAATGGCAGTCATAGATCTATATTCAACAATAGCATATCTCACACAAAGCTAAAAAAAATCACAGTGAAGTAACAATCTTAGAAGACAATACTAGAATTTAAAAATGATTGCCATCTGTTGAGGACTCAGCAAATCTTCAGGATGATGTCAACAAAATCTTCAGGATGATGTCAACAAAATCTTCAGGATGATGTCAGCAAAATCTTCAGTGGCCCACAATAACAAAATGAAGAATTTTTTTTAACTTCTCCAGTGTGAAATTACTGGAACACAATAAGAAATATAATCAAATACAATAATGAAGAGGAAGACAAATATAATGAACCAAAGAGTAACAATATTCAAAATATATAATACAGGTAATACGTAAAATGTTATCACATCTGTTTACAGTAACAGACTGGATAACAAAAACATTAAAAACACCAATCTAACGTTGATATTCTTTAACTATTACATTTGTGCTCTCAAAATTGAAATCTTCCTTTATACTAAGAGCCCATTTTTTGTAAACATATTATACGGTAAATATACAGAAACTGTTCACGGACCTTATCAGTTCAGTCGAATTCCAAAATTTGTAGGAACGCCTGTCATCCCTCAAGCTGTACTCAGATCAGATGTAAGGATTGGAAATACTTGGACTGGTTCTACATTTGCAAACAATATATTGTGCAGTAATTCTATTTACTCCAGTAAATAGAATTACTGATCGCGAGTTCTATCTCCACCCGTGGAATGGTTTGATTCCAATAAAACGTTTGGGTCTAATATATACAATAAGAAACATTTCAGAAAGCATAAAGATTTCAAGGATTTTAACGTCTTCTCTTCATAAATAAAAAAAAAGTACTAATAGACTCATTATCTTCAAGAACGAAGTTATTATTCTATAAACTGTTTAAAAAATTAACACGAGGGTGAGTGAGACACTTGAGAATCACCTGGGTAACTTTATTGTGGAAATGTGTCACCAACTAGCGGCCTTATCAGTCCAAAGGAACACTGCTGATTTCCACCAAGACACTCAAGTGATGCTCATATGTCTCATTCACCAGCAAACTTTTGTTTTCCTCCAAACCATTCCTGATCTGTCGAACTGTGCTACCAAAATGCCACGAAGACGTAATACATTTATTAACAAGGCGTTTCGCTCTCCACAGTTTTTAATCCAGTTCAGGAAAATGAAAAAAGGAGTAGCACATACTTTAGGTACAGTAGGCAGGATGAACCAGGCATAATCATCTGAAAAAAACTGACTGAATTTTTTGAGTCTTATGATGACGTTGTTTAAATCGTCTCTGACACACACATTTGTGCTCTCGTCAAGTAACTTCCGCCCTCCCACACAATACCTGACTTTGTATCACCTGTATATTACGGCAGATGAGCGGAGAAGCAGCTTATAAACCGTATAGCAGGAGAGGTGCAGCAATCATAGGTGGTGTCACATTTGTTCAATGTGGAAGTAGGTTGTGCCCAAGAATTAGGCAAGCGAAGAATTCCTAAGTATTAAGATCCCAAGAAGTTGCAGTGTCTGACAGGTTTGTATATATTCCTTTTACTTCATTTCTCTGTACTGAAGTTAAAAAAGCGCCATTAGCTGGAGACGCATCTAACTAAATGTCGGAATACCATTGGCAACTTAAGAGTGATCCTGGAACAAGTTTGTCAACAAGTTACTCCGAGTGAGGGAGGGACATTAACGCTCTGTGTTACCTGTTCACCTCCAACCAAGAATACTTTAATCCTAAAGAAAACTTAGTGTAAGTATACTGAGAGTCGCACCTCTTAGTGCACAAATATCAAGATATACGTATGAGAATGTATGCAAAAGCTTAAGATGTCCTATATGGATATGTGCACATCATCGACATAATTTCTCGATATCTGCAATTGGTCCCTATTACTCGTTATATTTAAGTACTTTAATTTTAGTGTCAAACACATCACTGGAACAGAATCCCTTCCTTGATATATACAATGTTATCCAGGCCCTAGAGGAGACAAGTAAAAATTCCACTTAATGCTCTGGTCTTTATTCAGGGCATTTTAGTAATAAATAAATTAGGAAATAAACAATTAAAATATTTTTATGTAAACTTATGCATAGGTTGGTGCAGGTTGGTAGACTGGAGCAGGTTTGTAGGCTGGAGCAGGTTGGTAGGCTGGGTACTGGGCCTCGCCCTCGTAACTCACTTCCGCTACATAACCGGAGTCGCCGTTGACGTAGTAAGTCACCTTCTGCAGACGACCGTCGGGAAGCTGGACATAATAAGTACCCTTGGTGTCGTAGCCGTCACGAGATTCATCATGACCAAAGTCGTTGCCGGAGTAGTCGTCCTTCACAGCGTACTGAGAGTTGTACTGGGGAGGAGTCTGTGGAAAAAAAAAAAATGGCAAACGTGTATATGCATAGAAGAATGGGAGACCTGTGCGACGCCTGGGTATCTTGATATGTGTATATGTATACTGTATATTCCAGAACTAATAAGCTGCCCATGTAATACAGATGCTGCTGTCCTTGCAGCTCCAGCTACAGCTACTTTGCCTAACTCTATTTCACTGACCGTTAAATAAATTAAAACATTACTGAAATGAACCAGTACAGTACTAATATAGAGACGAGTGAATATTTTGGGCTCAGACTGAAACCTTTTTCAATATAGTGTTAACTGAAGACAGGCAATAGCAACCTTAATTATCTGTTATAGTCTCTCCATGTGAATTCGCTTACGCAATTAAAAACCGTTTATCACATATTTTACTTAATAAATGACATATTTGATGAAAAAGCTATGACGAACTCAATGCATTGCATTAAAATCTAAAAATCCGAGCATGTTGAAGAAACATTATAATAGTTTATATCTGAGTCGATATTCAAATACTCACGTCAGGATAAGTAGGAGCACCATAAGCAGGTCGTGGGTGTGCTGGGGGTTTGTAGGCTGGTACTGGAGGTCCATATGTAGGTGGTGGTTCAGGGCGGGCGAGGGTGGCAGCCACAAGGACTGTTAGTACTAGAACCTACAAAACGAAACGACGAGATTGGTTAAAACCAAGTATGTACAAATCGTGTGCTTCTGTTACCCTTAGTGACAAAAACTATTAGTTTCGTACAGTATATTCTGTTCTTATATACACGGTACGCACCCCAGTTCTGAGGAGCCGGATGAGATTGTCGTATTGTAATCTGTGATGAACATGTAGCAATATGCTCTTGAAATGTATCCCTCAATCCTCATGTACTGTAAATGCCATATGCAGTACAACCACTGTGAAAAAATAGTGAACTTCCAAGAGCTTTCGTGATTTCTTACAATGATAATGTGAGAAATCACGAAAATGTACTATGTTTGCGTTCATGCAGTTACTATGGAAATAATTTTTTGTAGGCATGAAGGAATGTGTGTACCTTTGTAGTCATGCTGGTAGTGAATAGTGAAGGCGACTGACAGTATCTGAGGCAGACCCGAGTCTTTTATACCAGCAGCCACACCCAAGGTCATATGATGTGGCTACTTCTTTATATTTCACTATATTTAGAATAGTGTGGGGAAGTAATTATTTTTATAAATAACTGTATAGAGGTGAAGAAATTATACACATACACACACACACACACACACACACACGCACACGCACACACACACATACACACACACACACACATACATACACACACACACACACACACACACACACACACACACACACACACACACACATACACACACACACACACATTCTTGTGCAACATTGACTGGAAATTTAAGGTCATTCGACTCCTCTGAGATAGTCCAGGACTGTTTACTTAAAACTCTTCGTGACAGAACCATCGTGAGGAAACAATCTGCTTGACTTGGTTCTGGTAAACAAGGAGACCCTCGTAAAAAAAACTGGATATTACCATGGAGCTTATGCGATCATAAATTTGTTACATTCAACATTGCCTGGAAATACGCCAATGAGGATAATGCAGTACAGCTCTTAGATTTTTGCTCTACTGTTAACAATAAATTTAGAGAGCATCTTCCTTGTTTAGACCTGGATAATGAAGTGAACTTCTGTGATACTTTTCATCATATTATGAATGCATCCCAAAGAACACATATTCCTTATAGATCAAATGAAAATTAAATGAATGAACGCGAGATTAAGACATCGATAGGATAAGAAAGGAATTAAGGGAACGTGAAGAAAGGAGAGGATCGTCTTGTAAACCAGTATCTTTCATATTGAAAGAGAGAGAGAGAGAGAGAGAGAGAGAGAGAGAGATGAAATGAAAAGCAACAGACTATGAAATTAAAGTTGTAGAGGAATTAAAGATAAATATGAAAGGTATCTTCCACGTATATAGAAGGAAGGTTAGAGAAGAGTTCACTTAAAACTTACTCTGGATATTTTACTGATAATGAGAAAGAAATGTGTTCGATTTTAATCAGTTCGTCAGTGTCTTCACAAGATAACACAGTCTCACTGCTGAATTATTATAGCGAACCTGACGAAAACAAATGCTGTAGTATCACATACACTGAAGTCATAATTTTCCTTAGTAAGTTTAGCCTGAGGGAAATTTATAATGCGGTTTTCAGCGTTGCAACGCAGAGTACATGCGTTCTTTGCGTCGTTCCACTGCCATGCTTTTTTATGTACTCTGGTTTCTGGGCTCCTGGAAGTTTTCATATATAAAACGACTCGTACTCACTATAAGGTTTTGTTAAACCGCCATTGGTTTTTCCTATGCTTTTTGATGTTTGAAGAAATATTGGTATTAGGGTGGAGCTAGGTGATGGCTTTGATCTGGTTACGTATGCTGCGTTTTGTATTTCCGAAATCACGAAACCGCTCTGAGCTGTAGTGCTGAAAGTGCGTGCACGTGGTTCGATCCCCGGTATGGATGGAACGTTGGGCATGTTTCTTTACACCTTCTGCCCCAGTTCACTTGGCAGTAAGTAGGTACCTGGGTGTTAGCTGACTGGTGTGAGTCGCATCCTGCGGGAGTGGTAGTGAAATGAGCTGGAATAGGATAACAGATCTTATCATATAAAAACTGTTTTGTGTAAAAAAATATAGCAATAATGAAAGCAGATTCTAACGGCGTATGTGACGCATTTCAGATTTCTTGCTATGTTGCCATAGCCTTACACTTCCAAATAGAACCTGGAGACTTTGCTCAACACAACACAGGATACAGTGTACTCACTACTTCAACGAATGGAAGCACATCTGTTCCCAAGACAAATCAGTCTATTTTACGCAGGTTCTTCCAGTGGCATTTTGGAAGTTTGTGAGATGGTTGTGGTGCTGCAGTGAGTGGTGTAGACGTTGTTTAAATCGTCCTCTAGCCAAGTATACTTAAGTTGATGACTAAGTCACACGTACAACTCCTGGGTATCTTTATTGAGAGACTCGGCACTCATCAAGGACTTTGTAAATCTAATCATCGCCCTGGTCGATGAAATGTTTCTCAACAAAAATTCCGAGGTATTACTCATGTATCTTATTCATCATCGTGTTGGTATAATATACCTTTGATATAAAGATACGTATTTATGTACACTAATGCATTGCTTAAATCTCCTAGATGTTACCAACACAGTTTACATATCCCTTATATGGGATGATATAAAGCAGAGTTCGATACACTGTGTTGCACGTTCTGTAGTGTCGTCGTTTTTAATGGAATTGTAAATTATGGCTGTTATAGCTTTCTTTAGCAGTAACGTTGTTAATGCAGATAAGAGCGATGTACTGGTCTGAGGTTTGCTTTTGTCTCTTGAAGAGGAAGTTCTTGCTGCCTTTATCCTGCAGCCTTTGATAAAATGCTCTGCGTTCTGTAGCTTAGAAATGATCCTATATATATAACTACACTCTCTTTCTAGGAAGTCATAAATCAATATTCTACAAAGTTAAATACAACCCATTGTGAGCAGTGGTACAGTAGGTCATCAGAGCTACGAGTAAATCAAAATATTTAATGGATATGATTAAAGACAGAAAGTTTACATATAAAACTAAGAAGTGAATGACATACTGAGAACACTGTACGACTCTGTGTTGTGTGTTATTGTGTAGACTTCGTGACTTTTTCGAGAATGTGACACCAAATTCTACCAGTCCATACAAAAACCCGCACATAAAAACAGAAGCTACGACACGTTCGGTCCGACTGGACATTGACAAAGTCCACTAAAGAGGAGGAGCAGGACGCATATATGCAGGAAGAGGTGAGGTAGTATAGTGTATTAGTAGTATGTCCCGTCTCATCTGTGTTGCTTTGTCAATGGTCCAAGTGGACCGAAACGTCGTCGTAAGCTTCTGTCTTTTATGTGCGGGATTATTTGATTATCGTCCAGTCACGGTATTGTGCTTTTTGTTATTATCTACCAGTCCTGTTTTAAAAGCACTGAAACGAAGCTCGTGCACTCGGCCGACTCAAAGTCTTATTAAAAAACACATTCATGACAAACTGAAGTTATTATCATCACTGTCGTCATAAATATCCTTCTTTCAAACATAAGAGGAATTGCCAATAATACTCTTGATTAATCCCGACCAGTAAGTCTAAGATCCTCAGCACTAGTTTGTCAACAGACAGAAACACTGAGACACAAATGTATCCCGAGTGGCTGTTTACTACGGTTATTTTACACAGATTTTCATCCATTGTAAAAGCTAGTTCATTACAGTCTCTCTTGTCTACCTTTTATCCCTAATAATCTTCGTTTAAATTACCAAAGCTTGAATTTTTTCAGTGACATTACTGGGATGGAGTTTTTCATATGCACACATTCGCTGATAGTCAGGTTATGGGAGACAAATAATTTATTAAATTTTATTTTTTATATTTTATTCAGCTCATTTATGAAAATATAATTTTTGTATGAAATTATGCATGGACAGGAGCAGGCTTGTAAACTGGGGCGGGTGTGTAAACTGGAGTAGGCTTGTAGGCTGGAGTGGGCTTATAGGCCGGAGCAGGCTGGAAGGCTGGGTACTGGGCCTCACCCTCGTAGTTCACTTCCGGTAAACAGCCGGAGTCGCTGCTTACAATGTAAGTCACCTTCTGCAGACGACCGTCGGGAAGCTGGACGTAGTAAATTTCCTTGGTGTCGTAACCGTTACGAGATTCTTGGTGACCAATGTCGTTTCCGGAAGAGTCGTCCTTCACGTCAAACTGTGCGTTGTACTGGGGAGGACTCTGTAAGGGAAATATAGCAGAATTGTATGTGTGTATATATATATATATATATATTATTATATATATATATATATATATATATATATATATATATATATATTTTATGATTTTTATTAGTGTAATATGATATTATTTAATATATATATAATATATATTTTTTTGATTAGCACATCGCCTGTTTCCGATGTGTTAACAATACGTAGATATAACTTCAGCTGATTCTGACGTGTAAAATTGAAGTAACTCACGTCAGGGTAAGCAGGAGCACCATAAGTAGGTCGTGGGTGTGCTGGGGGGTTGTAGGCTGGTGCTGGAGGTCCATAATGTAGGAGGTGGCTCAGGTTGGGCGAGGGCGGCAGCCACAAGGACTGTTAGAACAATAACCTGCGAAGCAAGATGACTCGAGTCAGGTTCACGCTCTGGATCATTTGTTGATAATAGGTAAAGCGTGAATGTGGTGTAAAAACAAAAGGTTGTTAGAAAAGAAATAAGTTGAAATGTGGGTGGAAGGGATAATTTCTTTCTAGGCAATAAGACCGAAAGGAAAGTACAATATATATTCTTCAAGAGTAGAAAACTTTCTCAGGAAACAGATTTAACGATGAGAAATTTTAAGCACCCTAATATGCAAAAATTATTGGAACAGGACACAATGTGCAATAATGCTCCACGATTGAGAAGTGGAATGTAATGGATCTAAGAGTATTTTTGTAGAGAGATCATACATTCAGGGAACCCAGTAAGTTGACCACAGCATCTAAATTGAAATAACATGCTGGGTAATTAGAGTCTTCAAAACAAGAAATATAAAAGCCGGTGATAATACTATTCAAGGCAACTATATAATATATATTTATATTGATGGTAGAATTACCGACAGTATGTTAAGTGAAAGGACACATGTGCAACTAATGTGACATTTTATTGTGGCAACGTTTCGCTCTGCAGGAGCTTTGTCAAGCTGTTACTGCTTGACAAAGCTCCTGGAGAGCGAAATATTGCCAGAGTAAAGTGTCACATTGGTTGCACATATGTCCTTTTACTTAACATATTTAAATACATCTGTACACCGTATTATTTTTTTTTATTTGGAGAATGTACATATAATATTCACTATCCATATCAATTCAGGAAACACCTAATATACAAAGAACGTCAAGACTGCATCGTATAGTTTTGTCTGGTGGACAGGCAAGAAAAATGTTATTGCCTACTACAGAATACCACAAGAGCTATTTTGAAAATTACGGAGTTAAATATTTCTTACGAGAATGTAAACCTGGTTGGATGGAGCACAGCACCCAAAAAGAAAAGCATAGATATAACGAGCAAAATGGATCCAAGATTTCTCACACCTTCTCGTACATAATTGCCAGTAATCTCTTAAATGTGTCTAAGTGGGAACTTATATTCCTACAGATATTCTTGGTCAGGTGATCTCTAGCGTTTACACTTCTCGAACCTATAAACAAGGATGCCTGGTCTGACATCAGTCATAAGGCCAGTGACAATCAGAATCAAATTGTAAAAAGGAAATCGCAGTACGTCTCATGTGTACATTTTTATATACACATCATTTGTATTTATACAGAATATCTAGCAGCATTTAAGAAAAAACCAGTCTGTAATTTTTTTTCTATATCCTTGATGATTACAGTATTAAATTTATTAATAGGTAATAGTTTCAGTGACATAAACAATCTCTCACGTACGCATTCACTAACCTTCTGCCTACAGGAGACAGGTAAAACAAATAAGTTTATGCATCGGTCTTTATTCGTATCATTTTAGTAAAAAATATATTCGTTAAAAGGCAAAATTATCAGTTTATGCATAGACTGGTGCCGGCTGGTAGGATGGAGCTGGCTTGTAAGCTGGAGCAGGCTGGTAAGCTGGAGCTGGCTTGTAGGCTGGAGCAGGCTGGTAAGCTGGGTACTGGGCCTCACCCTGGTAGCTCACTTCAGCTATGTAGCCGGAGTCGCCGTTGACGTAGTAAGTCACCTTCTGCAGACGACCGTCGGGAAGTTGGACATAATAACTACCCTTGGTATCGTAACCGTTACGAGATTCATCATGACCAAAGTCGTTGCCGGAGTAGTCGTCCCTCACAGCGTACTGAGAGTTGTACTGGGGAGGAGTCTGTGGAAAAAAAATAGTCATATTTTCTTATACAGTATCTTAAATTGCATATTAGCTGCCTCTACCGAAGGTGTGGCATTGCTTTCTAATCTCTGGCTCGCCAGGGACCATATCGAAGAAAATAACAGAAGGAGCAAAAGGCTGTAATCTGAAAATAAAATTACGTGAAATGTATGTAAAATTATATTTAAAAGCAGTTATTAAAAGTAATCCTATTAAAATAGCTAAATAATACAGCTAAATGTGAAGTACTTTTATGTTAAGGTTTATACTCACATCAGGGTAAGTAGGAGCACCATAAGCAGGTCGTGGGTGTGCTGGGGGTTTGTAGGCTGGTGGTGGAGGTCCATATGTAGGAGGTGGCTCGGGGCGGGCGAGGGCGGCAGCCACAAGAACTGCCAGAACTAGAACCTGCAAAACGAGACGTCAAGAATCCTCATTAAATTCACAAATCTATTATTGGAGCTTCTGTGTCATTAACAATAGATCAGTTCCTACAAAAAAATGGCAGATGTGTACCTTGGTAGTCATGTTGGTAGTGAACAGTGAAGGCAACTGACAATTTCTGAGGCAGACTCGAGTATTTTATACTAGCAGCCACGCCCAAGGTCACGTGAAGTGCCGAATTCTCGACAATTCATTGTATTTGGAAAATTATGTTGAATTAGCATTTTTCTTGGAAATGTGGAAAAGTTTGGGATAATATACGTAATTATATAAATAAAATTCAATTTGCATCATCGGTAATTTCTCACGAAGGCAGAACGATAAAAAGAAGAGTAAATACAATCACCATCATTCATGTAAAAGATGCATTGGCAAATATGTTCATGGACATCAACATTCAAATGACCATTGGAAGTCGTACATCTCCATCTAGAAATTAAACTCGTATAAATGGTTTTCGTAATTTTTTTCATAAATGTTATTCTGCTAAAATTCCAGTTGCACTTCCAGTCATTAATTCCTACTTAATATTTTCACACATGCCTGCTGGATGCACAAGCCCCTGCCACCCAAAACCTAATAGTTAATGTCTTGAAAATAATGCTAATATCAAGTACAAATTGGATATTAGTATATGTGTACATACACACTCATCTAAAGTTCCTTTTTTTTCTTATTAACTCTCGTTTTTGTAGCTATTGTTGTCTTTAAATTTCATAGAAAAATGGGCTGTAATCCTTTCGTAAACATTACATGTCACGACTACAAAGCCGAAAGTAAGGGTCTAGTAACCTCTTCAGTATTAAAAAGACAAAGGAAATATTAAAGTAGATTCTGGAAGAGGTTAATTAGTTGAGAAAACCTGGAAAGTTAATGAAGTAGCAGTAAAAAGTAAGAGAGATGATAGATGGGAAGATGGACGTATTAGAGAGAATGTGTTAAAGAATCTAGTATAGATGAAAGGAAGGTGGTGATATGCTTTGGCTAGTGAGACAAAATCTGGTAAGAGTGAGGAAGAAACAGAGGTAAATATAGAAGTAAATGAGGCAGTGGATAGAATGAACGGGGGCCAAGTAGTTGGAATAGATTGGATTAAGATTGAGATATTAAAAACCGATGTAGATATTGTTTCGGGGTGGGTTTTTCATGCAGAAATAATGCATAGTTCCTCTGTCTCAGGGAAAAAGAAATTCGTGTGAAAGACTTATTTGGAATAAGCTAGCTGAGCATGATGAATTAGGCACATGTTTATACCTGTCCTTCTTTATTCTGAAGGCGTTTCACCAACTAATGGCTTCATCAATACAGTAGTTATTAGTCGGAGAGAGTAGGAGAGATAATCGGGTCCTTATCCTTAAAGATGTTGAAAATGGTGATAGTAGATGAGGTAATCAGTCCCTCAACCATGAAAGTGTTCATTATCTTAATTTCGATACGCCTGAAGTGTAGGCAGGATGATAGACGCTTGTATAGGACCCAGAGAAGGTGCAACAGTAGTTAAAGGCATTGAAACTGTCTCCAGCTGCAACACTTTCATAGCTGAGGACTTGAATACCTCTTCTTCTACTGTCTCCAGTGAATAATCTCATTGATTCTGTACTCACTGATTGGCAAAACATCTTCAGAATAAAGATAATCTGGGCTGCATATGTTTCTAAGCCATCAAATTTGCTCCAAGCAAAAGAAAGATAAGTCCAGCTCCTTGGATCACGAAGCCATCACCAGCATCAAGGCAGAATGATGCAATAATGTAAAACATTACAACACATTTCAAGATTAAAAGTGGCATAATAACATCTATACACTTTAAAAATATCAACCTTCTAAGTAGGATACATCAGTGTTTAAATTTTATAAGCGATCAGATGAGCCTTTCTCCAGGCTCAAGTGTTACCGTACACAAGTGTCGAAAATTTGAAGCCGACTGGATGAGGCGTTCTCGAGTTACGAGCGAAATAACACCGAAACGGTAGAAGAATAACAATCAGGCAGCCTCTTAAAGGTTTTCCTTCGGGAATATCTAAATAAAGAATATTTATAAAGTATACTGCTCAGGTTAAGGCATATAAGAGATGACTATTTCCCAGTAAAAACTCGCCTTATACAAGGATATGCGAAGTCACCATGGTTATATAATATATTTACAGATGGGGCTATAAAATATAAATAGTATGGTGATGGGGTGAAGGGTGACTTTAAAAGATAGTGAGTATGATAAGGAGCTGTTATAGTTGCTTATTTTCGATGACACAGTTCTTCTGGGAGAGTCAGAAGTTTCAAACGTTGGTGAATGAGCTTGGAGAATGTATTTATCTCTTGAGGTAAAAAGAGGAATGTACAAGAGTATAATGTTACCAACCCTTTTACATGGGTGTCTTAAACGTTGCAATGAAGAGGAAGCCAGAAGCACAAGAGATATAATGCTTAAGAACAATATGTGGTGTGCCCTTTATATATATGTTGTTATATATGTGGTGTTACTCAAAGTATTATACAGGGAAAAGTTGAGGGATTAATGAGGTAGTTTTTGTCATTAAGAGATGATGAATGAGAATAGGATGACCAAGAGGGTATAAATCCGGGTTGGAAGAACTGAAGGGGTTCTTCCAGAAATGGATAAGGGGAGAGTGTAAATAGTTTTATGTGGTGGGGGCTTGAGCATCCAGCACGGGTGGAGAGAATTATAAACAATCAATCACTGTGTGCCTTGTGTGTGTCCTATACCAATGTACTCATTTGTATCGACATTGAACTTCTGTCAACATTCAAGCCAAACGCCTCATTCTCTGACGATACTTATTAGTTATCTTTGATGGTTTCTGGGACATCAGTATAAAATAATCTCTATCAAGTATACACATCACTCGCCATCGGCCTACAGGAAACAGGTCAAATTTTAATAATTTTATGCATCGGTCTTTATTCAGATCATTTCAGTAATAAATATAACAGTAAATATATGAAAAGCATAATTTTTTATATTGTTTTATACATAGGCAGGAGCAGGCTCGTAGGTTGGAGCGGGTTTATAGGCTGGGGCTGGCTTGTAGGCTGGAGCAGGCTGGTAAGCTGGGTACTGGGCCTCACCCTGGTAGCTCACTTCAGCTACGTAGCCGGAGTCACCGTTGACGTAGTAAGTCACCTTCTGCAGACGACCGTCGGGTAGCTGGACATAATAACTACCCTTGGTGTCGTAACCGTTACGAGATTCATCATGTCCAAAGTCGTTGCCGGAGTAGTCGTCCCTCACAGCGTACTGAGAGTTGTACTGGGGAGGAGTCTGTGGAAAAAAATAGTCATATTTTCTTATACGGTATCTTAAATTGCATATTAGCTGCCTCTACCGAAGGTGTGGCATTGCTTCTAATCGCTGGCTCGCCAGGGACCATATCGAAGAAAATAAAGAAGGAGCAAAAGGCTGTAATCTGAAAATAAAATTACATGAAATGTATGTAAAATTATATTTAAAAGCAGTTATTAAAAGTAATCCTATTAAAATAGCTAAATAATACAGCTAAATGTGAAGTACTTTTATATTAAGGCTTATACTCACATCAGGGTAAGTAGGAGCACCATATGCAGGTCGTGGGTGTGCTGGGGGTTTGTAGGCTGGTGGTGGAGGTCCATATGTAGGAGGTGGCTCGGGGAGGGCGAGGGCGGCAGCCACAAGAACTGCCAGAACTAGAACCTGCAAAACGAGACGTCAAGAATCCTCATTAAATTCACAAATCTATTATTGGAGCTTCTGTGTCATTAACAATAGATCAGTTCCTACAAAAAAATGGCAGATGTGTACCTTGGTAGTCATGTTGGTAGTGAACAGTGAAGGCAACTGACAATTTCTGAGGCAGACTCGAGTATTTTATACTAGCAGCCACGCCCAAGGTCACGTGAAGTGCCGAATTCTCGACAATTCATTGTATTTGGAAAATTATGTTGAAATTAGCATTTTTCTCGGAAATGTGGAAAAGTTTGGGATATTATAAGTAATTATATAAATATAATTCAATTCGCATCATCGGTAATTTCTCACGAAGGCAGAACGATAAAAAGAAAAGTAAATACAATCACCATCATTCATGTAAAAGATGCATTGGCAAATATGTTCATGGACATCAACATTCAAATGACCATTGGAAGTCGTACATCTCCATCTAGAAATTAAACTCGTATAACTGGTATTCGTAATTTTTTTCATAAATGTTATTCTGCTCAAACTCCAGTTGCACTTCCAGTCATTAATTCCTACTTAATATTTTCACACATGCCTGCTGGATGCCCAAGCCCCTGCCACCCAAAACCTAATAGTTAATGTCTTGAAAATAATGCTAATATCAAGTACAAATTGGATATTAGTATATGTGTACATACACACTCATCTAAAGTTCCTTATGTTTTCTTATTAACTCTCGTTTTTGTAGCTATTGTTGTCTTTAAATTTCATAGAAAAATGGGCTGTAATCCTTTCGTAAACATTGCATGTCACGACTACAAAGCCGGAAGTAAGGGTCTAGTAACCTCTTCAGTATTAAAAAGACAAAGGAAATATTAAAGTAGATTCTGGAAGAGGTTAATTAGTTGAGAAAACCTGGAAAGTTAATGAAGTAGCAGTAAAAAGTAAGAGAGATGATAGATGGGAAGATGGACGTATTAGAGAGAATGTGTTAAAGAATCTAATATAGATGAAAGGAAGGTGGTGATATGCTTTGGCTAGTGATACAAAATCTGGTAAGAGTGAGGAAGAAACAGAGGTAAATATAGAAGTAAATGAGGCAGTGGAGAGAATGAACGGGGGCCAAGTAGTTGGAATAGATTGGATTAAGATTGAGATATTAAAAACCGATGTAGATATTGTTTCGGGGTGGGTTTTTCATGCAGAAATAATGCATAGTTCCTCTGTATCAGGGAAAAAGAAATTCGTGTGAAAGACTTATTTGGAATAAGCTAGCTGAGCATGATGAATTAGGCACATGTTTATACCTGTGCTTCTTTATTCTGAAGGCGTTTCACCAACTAATGGCTTCATCAATACAGTAGTTATTAGTCGGAGAGATTAGGAGAGATAATCGGGTCCTTATCCTTAAAGATGTTGAAAATGGTGATAGTAGATGAGGTAATCAGTCCCTCAACCATGAAAGTGTTCATTATCTTAATTTCGATACGCCTAAAGTGTAGGCAGGATGATAGACGCTTGTATAGGACCCAGAGAAGGTGCAACAGTAGTTAAAGACATTGAAACTGTCTCCAGCTGCGACACTTTCATAGCTGAGGACTTGAATACCTCTTCTTCTACTGTCTCCAGTGAATAATCTCATTGATTCTGTACTCACTGATTGGCAAAACATCTTCAGAATAAAGATAATCTGGGCTGCATATGTTTCTAAGCCATCAAATTTGCTCCAAGCAAAAGAAAGATAAGTCCAACTCCTTGGATCACGAAGCCATCACCAGCATCAAGGCAGAATGATGCAATAATGTAAAACATTACAACACATTTCAAGATTAAAAGTGGCATAATAACATCTATACACTTTAAAAATATCAACCTTCTAAGTAGGATACATCAGTGTTTAAATTTTATAAGCGATCAGATGAGCCTTTCTCCAGGCTCAAGTGTTACCGTACACAAGTGTCGAAAATTTGAAGCCGACTGGATGAGGCGTTCTCGAGTTATGAGCGAAATAACACCGAAACGCTAGAAGAATAACAATCAGGCAGCCTCTTAAAGGTTTTCCTTCGGGAATATCTAAATAAAGAATATTTATAAAGTATACTGCTCAGTCGTTAAGGCATATAAAGAGATGACTATTTCCCAGTAAAAACTCGCCTTATACAAGGATATGCGAAGTCACCATGGTTATATAATATATTTACAGATGGGGCTATAAAATATAAATAGTATGGTGATGGGGTGAAGGTGACTTTAAAAATAGTGAGTATGATAAGGAGCTGTTATAGTTGCTTATTTTCGATGACACAGTTCTTCTGGGAGAGTCAGAAGTTTCAAACGTTGGTGAATGAGCTTGGAGAATGTATTTATCTCTTGAGGTAAAAAGAGGAATGTACAAGAGTATAATGTTACCAACCTTTTAATGGGTGTCTTAAACGTTGCAATGAAGAGGAAGCCAGAAGCACAGGAGATATAATGCTTAAGAACAATTGTGGTGTGCCTTTATATATATGTTGTTATATATGTGGGTTACTCAAAGTATTATACAGGGAAAAGTTGAGGGATTAATGAGGTTTTTGTGGATGGTGAGGGGACATGAGGTCATCCAGACGGGGGTTTCAGAATGATAAAAGATAATAACTGTGTGGCTTGTGGGTGGTTATACAAGTACCATCTTTGTTATCGACCAAAAAGAACTTTGTCAACATTCAAGTCAAACGTCTCGTTCTCTGACGATACTTATTATTTATCTTTGATGGTTTCTGGGACATCAGTATAAAATAATCTCTATCAAGTATACAAATCACTCGCCATCGGCCTACAGGAAACAAGTCAAATTTTAATAATTTTATGCATCGGTCTTTATTCAGATCATTTCAGTAATAAATATAACAGTAAATATATGAAAAGCATAATTTTTGGTATTGCTTTATACATAGGCAGGAACAGGCTCGTAGGTTGGAGCGGGCTTATAGGCTGGGGCTGGCTTGTAGGCTGGAGCAGGCTGGTAAGCTGGGTACTGGGCCTCACCCTCATAGCTCACTTCAGCTACGTAGCCGGAGTCACCGTTGACGTAGTAAGTCACCTTCTGCAGACGGCCGTCGGGAAGCTGGACATAATAACTACCCTTGGTGTCGTAACCGTTACGAGATTCATCATGTCCAAAGTCGTTGCCGGAGTAGTCGTCCCTCACAGCATACTGGGAGTTGTACTGGGGAGGAGTCTGTGGAAAATATAATTGTAACATATTTGTATATAATTATAACATGTTTGTATATCAGCTGCCTATAACAAAGTTGTGGCAGAGCTTATGGTTGCTGGTTCACCGGGGAACATTCACACAAATCATTTGTTATTTATTTTAACCAAAGAGAGACTAATTTTCGAGTAAATGAAAAAGTTTTCGACGAAAACAAAAACAGTAAACCATTTTGTAAGAAGCTCTAAAAATTACGTGAAAATTAAGCACTTATTTTACTTCTGAGAACATTTGTTTAAAACAATCACATTAAAATTAGATAAATCAGCTGTCTGTGGAGTCATCTTTTTCAGCTTAATACTCACGTCAGGGTAAGCAGGAGCTCCATAAGCAGGTCGTGGGTGTGCTGGGGGTTTGTAGGCTGGTGCTGGAGGTCCATACGTAGGTGGTGGTTCAGGGCGGGCGAGGACGGCGCTCACAAGGACTATTAAAACCAGAACCTACAGAACGAGACACCGAAAACCGTCATTAAATCCATAAATCAATTAATTTCATTACTCTCTTACTGCAACCTCTATTTCATAATCGATTATGTAATCGATATTGTTATTTCTGCAATTTATATATTGCATGTATTAATACTAATGTTATTAAAAATCACGAAAAATATTTTTCCAGAAAGGAAGGGAGGTGAGCACCTTGTAGTCATGTTGGTAGTGATCTATGAACGCGTCTGATAGTTTCTTATTCAGAACGGAGGTTTTTATACTAGCAGCCACGCCCATAGTCACGTGGGGTGGTGATTCCTTGACGTTCCACTATATTTAGAAAATTGTTTAGGGTAAATTATTTTGAAAAATCGTGTCAAGAAATATCGAATATTGTTTTTTTCGTTTGTACCTACTGTCCGATTTGTGTGTGATTGAAGCTATTTTTCAAAGTATCACAACTTTGGGGAAGTAGGTATTATTATGAGATTGTAGTTGGTAAAAGAGAGACAAATGTGATCATAATGTGATCATTTGTTGACAACGTTTCGCCCGCACGCTAGGTTTTATGAAGTCACAAAGACATATAACTGTCAGATAGATCAACATCTTTCTAGGAGACAAACCCATTGAGAAATAGTCAAAAAAAAAGTCATATGCCTCCACAATAGTCATCATGGCAAAGTACTTATCCAAATTTTCTTACGGAAATCTGTCATTGACAAATATACAGTAATAATAGTAGGATAAAAGCCGTAGCAGACGACATCAGAATCTCTACGAGAGCAACATCCATTAAGGAAACAGACTTCAAGATGTAAACAAAATCTTCACCCTGGACACATGAAACTCCGTGACATAACGAGGACCAATTTCCACTACTTTATTATGGAAAATAGAACTGGAACACAGAGCAAAGTGCAATTACAACCCTTCGGTCGGACAGTATAAGAAGATTAACTATGCTGAAAGATCATAATAATGTGAATAGAAATTACCTTTAAAGTAAGCAATTCAATGCTCACGATAAAACTTTTGAAAATAACTTTAATATTTGTATTGTAATTTGCAGTTCACTATTTACTTAACTCGTGCAAATTGAAAATTTTGAGAACGTACAGGTAACTTTTACTGCTCATATCAGTTCAGTCAGATTTTTTTGGAATGTCTGAATTACTTCCATTTACACTGGCAGTGTGCAGGCGAAGAAATATATGAGGTCTGGAACCTGTCCATGGGGGCGGTCATCACCGAAGTCGTCTTAAGTAACCTTCAGGTAACCATAAGGTATCTTTCAGGTAACCATTAGGTATCTTTCAGGTAACCATTAGGATTTAGGTAATAGTCTTTCAGGTAACCATTAGGTATCTTTTAGATAACCATTAGGTATCTTTCAGGTAACCATCAGGTATCTTTCAGGTAACCATTAAGTATTTTTTAGGTAACCATTAGATATTTTTCAGGT